CCACCTAGGTTGGGTTTTCCTTCATGGAACGTTCCCAGCACAGGGTAGGGCTTTCAGACCCATTCCTACCACTAACTTCTCATGTTGCTCATTGGTTAACCCTTTGGTTAATGGATCCGCTAAATTATCCTTCGACTTGACATAGTCAATCGAGATAATACTCGTATTGAGAAGTTGCCTAATGGTTTTGTGTCTGCGGCGAATGTGCCTAGACTTACCATTATACAATTTGTTCTGAGCTCTTCCTATTGCTGACTGGTAGTCACAATAAATGCAAATAGGAGGAACTGGCTTTTCCCAGTTTGGAATATCCTCAAGTAAATTCCGAAGCCATTCGGCATGTTCTGCACACTTGTCTAGTGCTATGAACTCAGACTCCATGGTGGATCTGGCAATTAACGTTTGTTTTGAGGATTTCCAGGAAACAGCTGCACCGGCTAACATAAAGACAAATCCACTTCTAGATTTTGAATCCTTATTATCCGCAATCCAATTGGCATTAGTGTATCTTTCCAGTACGGGTGGATACCTACCGTAGCATAGGCTATAATCTCGAGTATACCGAAGGTATCTCATTACTCGGACTATGGCCTTCCAGTGCTCAGCACTCGGATTGCTAGTATACCTACTTAGTTTGCTAATGGCGCAAGCTAAGTCTGGCCGTGTGCAGCTCATCAAGTACATCAGACTTCCGATAACTCTAGCGTATTCAGTCTGAGAATCGCTACTCCCTCGGTGTTTACCAAGGTGAACATTTACATCTATCGGCGTCTTAGCTATCTTTGTATCCTCCTTGTTGAATTTCTCAAGGATTTTGTCAATGTAGTGGGATTGGCTCAAGCTCAGACCATCCGGTCTTCTTAGTATTTTGATTCCAAGAATCACATCAGCCAGACCCAAATCTTTCATATCGAATCGTGCATTCAACATGTCCTTGGTGGACTTGACCATCCTATCGTTGCTTCCAACGATGAGTATGTCGTCCACGTACAGACATAAAATGACATACCCTTCAGATGTGTCTTTAAAGTATACGCACTTATCCGACTCATTTATCTTAAAACCGTCACTCATTATTACCTCGTCAAACTTATCATGCCATACTTTTGGCGCTTGTTTTAGACCGTATAATGATTTTACAAGTTTGCAGACCTTCTTTTCTTGGCCCGGAACCTTAAACCCTTCGGGTTGTTCCATATAGATCTCTTCATCTAGTTCGCCATTTAGAAAAGCTGTCTTCACATCCATTTGGTAAACATCCAAGTTTCGTAAGGATGCAAATGCGATGATCATTCTGATAGAATCTATCCTAGTCACAGGCGCGTAAGTATCAAAGTAGTCATAGCCCTCGCGTTGGCTATACCCCTTGATCACAAGTCTCGCTTTGTACTTGTCAATGGAGCCGTCAGGCTTCATTTTCCTCCGAAAGACCCATTTGGAACCTAATGGCTTACACCCTGGAGGGAGATCAACCAGTTCCCAAGTGTGATTCTGAAGGATAGAATCAACTTCACTCTTTATGGCTTCCTGCCACTGAGGTCCCTCTGTTGAGGTTACGGCCTCGTGATAGGTTCGCGGTTCCTTTTCTACCAAACAGGTTAGAATATCGGGTTCATTTTCCATTAGAAATGACAAAGTTCCTTTGTCAAATTCTATCAGATATGTTATGAAGTCAGAACCGAACGTCTTTTCAGTTCGCATTCTTTTACTTCGTCTCAGTTTAGTCTCATGTTCGACTTCTTCATCATCGTCATCGGAATTCAACTGATTTGGATCATCATTATCCATCATCTCAGCATGAGAACGTTTGGACGAACGGGCTTCGTCACTTGACTTGCATGGAAAAATATGCTTGAAAAACGTTGCATTCCGTGACTCGATGATTGTGTTCTTGTGAATTTCAGGATTATCTGATTTGTACACCAAGAACCGGTACGACGTACTATTGTACCCGATGAAGATTCCATCAACTGTTTTTGGACCGATCTTCATCTTCTTTGGTGGTGGTGCAAGTACTTTCGCGAGACACCCCCACACTTTAAGATACTTATAGGAAGGTTTCCTATTATGCCAAAGTTCATACGGAGTTTTGTCAAGTTTCTTACGAGGTATTTTATTTAGTAAATAATTACTTGATAAAACAGCCCCCCCCACATGTTCTGAGGTAATCCAGAACTAAGCAGCATCGCATTCATCATGTCTTTTAGAGTGCGATTCTTGCGCTCCGCTACTCCATTAGACTGTGGTGTATACGGTGGGGTTACTTGATGCACAATTCCTTGTTGTGCACAAAACTCATTAAGTGGAGCATCATACTCACCACCTCTATCGCTTCTCAATGCTTTTATCTTGCGATTAAGTTGATTTTCCACTTCGTTCTTATAACGAACGAAAGTGTCTAACGCTTCATCTTTACTTTTTAGTAAATAGATATAGCAATATTTCGTGCTATCATCGACGAAGGTAATAAAGTACTTATTACCTCCTCTTGAAGGCGTTGTCCGAAAATCACACAAGTCGGTGTGAACCAACTCTAGAGGTTGAGTATTTCGTTCGATCGTTTGAAACAAACTTCGAGTTGACTTTGCCTCAACACAAGTTTCACACTTGCGAGTTAAGTCAATACTAAATTTAGGTATGTGTTCCATGTTAATTAATTTCCGGAGAGATGCATAATTAACATGTCCTAGTCTACCATGCCATAAACTAGAAGACTCACACACATAAGCAACAGGATTTTTATTGATCTTTTCATGAACAGTCATTACATTGAGCTTTACTAGCCCATCTGAAATGTAACCCTTCCCAATAAAAATCCCTTTCTTGGATAAGATTAGCTTGTCTGATTCAAACACCATCCGAAAACCGTGTTTGATCAGCAATGACCCCGACACTAAATTCTTGCGAATGTCTGGGACATAGAGCACGTCGTTGAGCGTGAGCTCCTTGCCGGAGGTCATTTTCAGCTTGATCTTTCCAATCCCTTGAACCTCTGATTGGGCCGAATTACCCATCCACACCTTGTCACCGGAGCTCTCTTGAAAGTCGTGAAACATGCTCCGATTTGAGCAAATATGGCGTGTGGCTCCTGTGTCCACAAACCATTCCTTCGGGTTTGACCCGACGAGATTCACCTCGGTGACAACCGCACAGAGGTCCAGGTTGTCAAGCTCCGCACACATGGCTTCAGTGGTTTTCTTCTTTCCCTTTTGTGGCTTCTTTTTCCTACAATCGGAGGAACGATGCCCGGTAATGCCACAATTGTAGCACTTTCCTGCAAATTTAGAAACTCCACCTTTAGGACCCATCTTCTTTTTGTCCTTCGCGCCATGTGAAGAGCCCGACGGATGTTCTACAACATTCGCCTTAGCCCCTCCATTTCTTCTAGCAAGCCCTTCCTCTCGGATCCTCAACCACGTGAGCAGTTGCTCGAGATTCAGCTCCGTTCTTTTGAGCTTGAGGTCGGCTTGGAAATCTTCCCATGACCGGGGAAGTTTGTGGATGATGGCTGCCACTTGAAAGGCCTCGCTGACGCCTACTTTTTCTTCATTGCATTTATTGAAGATAACCGTAAGCTCCTCAGCTTGGGCGACAACAGATTTGCTATCGACCATCTTGTAGTCCAACATCTTTCCGACGATGAACTTCTTCGTGCCGGCATCTTCAGCTTGATACTTTTTGCTCAAGCTATTCCAAAGCTCCTTGGCGAGCGTCACACCGGCATAGACGGGGTACAACGTATCTCCCAGCCCTTCAAGAATAATATTTAAGGCGAGATAGTTGTTGTGGTACCACGCTTGGTTCACCATTGCCACAAGGGGGTCGTTGGCTTCATTGGGCTGAGGGGGATCTTGCTGTATGTACTCAGCAAACCCCAGGACGGTCAAGAAAAACATCATCTTTTGTTGCCACATCTTGAAGTTCGTCCCATTGAACTTCGGTGGCCTTTAAACCGAATTAGCGGGCACCGAAATCGGCCCAACTGCGTTGGGCGTGTGGAGGAATGGCCCGTTAGTCGCCCAATGGGGTCCAACGAATGGATTGACCGGTGTGGGGAAACCCGCGTTCGGTCCTACGTTGACCGGTGTGGGAAAACCCGTGTTCGGTCCAAGGTTGACCGTCGAGGCCGAAGCCATGGTCGGTCCAAGAAACGGGTTCGAGTTACCGACGGGGTGATCCCCCGTGGTTTCGAGCCCAGGAATGGGTCGAGGGGCCGACCCGAAGATCGAGCTCGGCATTGCAAACGACGTCATGGTTGCGGCCCCCACACTTGCCCCGAAGGGTAGTGGTGAAGACGGCACAACCATGGCAACCGAAGAGGTTTCCACCAGAATTTCGGAACTTATTCCGTTGCCGGAGGAACCCACGATGCCGAATCCGAACTCCATCAATACTACCTTAAGATTGTTGATTAATACAGCGGGAAAAAAATAAAATAAATAATCCGAACTTATAAAACGTTCGGATTTTACAACAAAAATAAAAGAAAGTAAAAGTAGGAGTCTTCGGGGGCTCGAACGGACTTTACTTCGGACGGAGAACAAAAAAAAAGGTCGCCGGAGATATTTCTTGAACCGTAGGTAAGGAAAGCGGAGTCGCCGAAGCTTTCCTTAAGGTAGTATTGCCCGCCTCCCGCACTGGCTAACGTGGACAATCTCCTCCCAGGATAAAACCGCTTCGTGCTAGGTCTAGAGCGGTAGAACAAAGCACCGGCGAACGAGAACGACGGGAGTTATAGCTGGAGAAGGTGATCGGAAACGGGAGATAGTCGGAAAGTTGTATAACGCAGAGAGATTGTTTCAAGTGTGTCTTTCTCCCATAGCCAAGCCCTCCTTTTATAGGAGGGAATTTTGGCTCTTCAATGGACCATCGGAGATTACGAGGTGCCATGGCACCCCCTTCGCCTCCCTTGTGCATGCATGCCTTGGACGGCACTTCGTTAATCACGAAGTGCCCACACGTGTTTAATTTGGTCTCGTAAAAAATTAGCCACGCCCCACCGCAGACGCGGGCGCGCCACGCCACGAGCCGACGCGCGCGTGTCGTGTCGTGTCGTGCCGAGCCGGACGGACGGCGGCGGCGGCGGCGGGCGCGCGAGGAGTTCTCCTCTTGTTCCTTTCATAAGCTCAATTCAATGCCTAAGCTTAAATATGAGAATACGAAAGGTTTAGAAACCGGTGTGGGACAAAGGCATTTACTCTACCTTAATATTCAACTTTGAGAATTAATTTCTCATTCACCCGAGCACCGTTTATGGCGTGTAATACGTCAAGACGTTCGTCTTACTTACGAGATTAATCGTCCATAATTATTTTTGGAAAAATAATTTTGTGGACCCTATCAAATTTATGTCCGAAAATGTCCAATTTACTTAAAATATTCCAACAGTAACCTCTGTTGCCGATTGAATCACTATGATTTTCAACTTCTTGGGTGAGGGGTGAACGAGTTCTTAACAAAGAATAGGTGACACATGTGCCTAGGCATGTGGCGACAGATGTGCCTATTTGGTGTTCGGTTTCCTCGAAGTTTTCACAACTTCACATCAAATAACCGAAAGTGGGATAGATATTGTTGGGGGTGCACTGCAGGCATATATATCATGTATATGTATGTTGGTTTCTTTTGTCTTCAATCTATCTGCTTTGGCGATGATGATAAGTATATTCTCGATAATTAAATATAAAAAAAAATTTGCAATGTTTGTGTCAATCTCATCTACAAGAACCTCATCATGTCATGTTTCTTCTTGCTTTGCCTTTTACAAATTTACCCTAAAAGGGTAATTTGACCCACTCATTCCACGTACGAGAAATGTTAGAGGAATGAATCCTTTCTTTTCTTTTCTTTTTTTTTTTTTTTGGGTAAAATGTGAATTATAGAATTAGTAAATCCAAAATGGGAATTAATGCAAAGTGCTGGGGGGCATAACTCTAACAAAATTTACAAAGTCAAGAGAAAATGCAAATTCCCTACAACAAGTGCAAAATTTTAAAACATGTGGGAGACTCCGATCCACTTGTAAGACTACTTTTGGCATCAAACAAAAACAGTAATATTTTTACATAGACAATTATTGTATGCGTTTATTTTTTATGTCAAAAAAGTGTTGCAAGCGGGGATCCCCAAGCTTTTTTCATTGCCCCACTTAAGAATGATTTTGACGCAATAGAGAACGTGAAAGACAAGCAACCACGAGTCTTTGTCAACGGAGATTCGTAAGCGCGAAGCTCTAGAGAAATAAATAGCTCTAGAATTATGGCTGTATAAATATCTAATATCAATTTTATTTATGTAGTAGTCAAATTATCAGTTTTAACTAGAAAAAAGTCAAAATTGAAGAACACTCTAAGACGGAAGATAGTAGTAATTAATGCATACTCTCTCCCTCCAAAATTGTTTGACCCATTATGCAAAACGATGCAAAATTTCAAAATTTTTACTTCATTTTATTTAAAGATTGACATAAAAATAAAAATTAAAGTTTATATATTTAAATACTATGTAAAAAGTTTTTCAAAACAAGAGTCGACAAGAAAATTTTATTTTATTAAATAATCAATGAAAATGTACAAATAAATAAAATTTCTCGTAGTTTTTTAATATTGAATTGTGGCATTATTTTTTAGACGGAATAAGTATATTACTCCTATGAACTTAATGAATACCTAACCATTGTGACTAGAGACTAGAGGAACATTATACATATAACGCATAGAATATATTGAGAAGTAAATGAAAATAAGTATGTAACTTAAGTACCCGGCCTCATAAATAAAGAAATAATAGTCCCTTCGTCCCATAACATTTTTTTCTTTCTTTTTTATCCATTCCAAAAAAGTCTTTCTCGTTTTTATTAAAAAGTCACTCTACCTCTACTAATTCTTAACATACCTATGACATCACACTTTTTCACTATTAATCTACTCATCACATCTATTTTACCCCTCACATTCAGAGTATTTTTGAAAAGTCCACAATAAAATACACTCTCTTTAAATCTTTTAAAAGTCAAAACGAGAAAAGTTCTGTGGGGCGGAGGAAGTAGTTATGATAACATATAAGACAAAAGACATTTTATATTTATTAAAAATATTCCAAGAAATATAACTTTTCGTTTGATTTTTCATAGATTCTCATTTGAAACTTTGACTATAAAGAATTATACATAAAACATAGTGGAACCCAATTAGATTAATTTTGACATATTAAAACTACGTGCATTTTGAAGATGGATTTAAGGAGAGTGTATTTTGGTATTGAATTTCCAAAAATGTCCTTTGATGTGATGGGTAAAAGTAGGATTTGATGGGTAGATTATTAGTAAAAAGGTATGATGTGATATGTAGGGTATGAAAAAGTAAGGGGTAAAAGTGACTTTTTAATAGAAATAAGAAGTGATTTTTGGAACGGATGAAAAAAGAAAGGATAAAGGTTTTCAGGGACGGAGGGAGTATTTATATTATAACCAAATACATTACTTTCACAAATCACGATTACAATTTGACAAAAAAAATTAAATCTAAAGATTACTCTGGTATTTAAGAGGGATAAAGTACTCTTTTAGAATGAGGATCTAAATGCAAGAAAAAAGGATGAAATCAGATCAGAGTACCACGATGGCTCCTCAGACCTGGCCGAGCAGTCATTGGAACGAGGTAAAAATTGGATTTTAATCGTAAATCGGTGGAAAATAGTAGAACATACATCTAATATTTACAGAGACTTCATGCGTAATTAGCATATATAGTTCTCTCCCAACGCTTTTGGCATGAATCGAAGGAGTTTGTCCTTATGACATTATTTATCTTTGTCAAATGCGCAACGCCCACAAACGAAGATCTAAATGCAAGGATGGGTGCACATGACATTTATTCAACATATGAAGACAAATATTTATTTAATTTATCATTGTTATTTATTTTCATTCCATGTAGAGAGACACAAAAGCATGGTGGAGGAGTGAGAGAGGGTGGGGACCAAAGCATTGTTGGTCGTCGTGGGGAACCTGCGGAAGAATAGCGTGGAACCTCTCTCCAGAATCAGGATGTCTGTTAAGAGAGAGAGAGGGAGGGCCCCACCTCGCGAGGGGAAGTTGAATGGGCGTGGGCCCCGCTCCTCGTCAGTTGTTAGTCACCGGTCTCAACTATATAACGGACCCCAACAACCTCGTCTCTCTCTCACACTCTATACTCCCCTCTCTCTCTCTCTCATACACGTCTCACTAACGCCGTTTGAGTCATCATACTTCAGCAGGTTCAATTTGTTTCACGCCGTTTGGTATTCCTGACGTTAACCGTTTCTTGATTTCACGTTAAAGTTTTTTTTAACGCATAGGGGGAGTGAAGAAGATCGATCATGTCGAGAAAGGGCGCCCTGACAGCCTCCAACTCCGGCCGGTTTCCGGCCGTCGTGGCGCCGAAGCCGCCGGCCGTTCCGGGGAATTTGGCCGCTTCGTCGAGCAACGGTCTCTTTACGGCCATTGAAGTCAATGGTGGCGGTGATGCGAAGATCCGCGCTTGGGTGGAGTCGATGAGAGCTTCTTCTCCCACTCAGAAAACCACTCCTCTCCCCGGCGATCACCGTGCTTGGATGGTATACTGCTTCTCTTATTTAATACTCCATCCTTCCCAAAATGTTTGTTACGTTTCGAAAAAACTGTGTCCCGTAAAGTTTGTTACATTTCTATTAAAAAACCACTTTTACCTCTTACTTTTTCATACCCTACCTATCACATCATACCTTTTTTTTAATAATCTACCAATCACATCCTACTTTTACCCATCACATCAAGGGTATTTTTTAAAAAATCAATACCAAAATATCCCTCCCTTAATTTTCCAAAAAGTCAAACCGTCTCATTCTTTTTGTGACGGAGGGAGTATTTGTCTAGTTTTAACTTTTAACCTTTTGCAGCTAATCATTTTCATTTTTGACTTATAATTTAAATTCAATAGATATTGGATATTAATTATATAATTATTTTTATATTAATATCTAATACCTCTGTCCCTGAGTATTTGTCCAATTTCAATTTTTTTGGTCAACTGTTTTCAGCCTTTGACCTATAATTAAATAAAATATATATTATATTTTTATTAAATAAAATAATATTTTGAAAATACTTGATTTAATAAATTTAATAAAACTCTTTTTGTATCAATATCTAATACCATTTTTATTTAATTTGAGGTTAACATTTACCAATTTTAACCAATAAAAGTCAAAAGTGGATAAATATTCAAGAATAGAAGGAGTAATAGAGTATCACTTTTATTGAATCTCTAGTCAAAGTTCATCATTTTGACCGAAAAAAGTTAAAGATAAACAAGTACTCTAGGACAAAGATAATGCTTTTACGTTACATGATTGGTTTGTATGTTTTTATGTTTGTTTAACATTACTTGATTGGGCTATGCTGGAGCAGACGCAACATCCGTCTGCTCTAGACATGTTCGAGCAGATAACAAAGGTTTCAAAGGGAAAGAAAATCGTGATGTTTCTCGACTACGACGGAACCCTATCTCCGATCGTCGACAATCCTGATGCCGCTTACATGTCCGACGCGGTTAGTATTTATATGTCTCTCCTCTACAATAAAAATACTCTCTACGTTCCATAAAAACCTCACTCTTTTGTTTTTTTCAATTCCCTAAAATACTTCTATTTTCTATTAAAAAATCACTTTCACTATTACTTTTTCATATCCTACCTATCACATCATACTTTTTCACTAATAATCAAACTATTACATCTTATTTTTACATATCACATCAGAGGCAAAATTAAAAATTTAACCAAAATCACATTTTCCTTATTTTTACCCAAAGTTAAAAATGGAAAGGATTTAAAAGAACGTTGGGAGTATATATCAATAACTCGTGAATTTCACCTTTCTTAATAATTATTCATAGTTAAATATGAATAATTGATTCATTTTTGGAAGAACAATTATATTTTATTCTTTTGCATGTGACTCATTAGATGAGAGCAACGGTGAGAAATCTTGCCTCATATTTCCCTACCGCTATAGTCACTGGACGGTGCATAGACAAGGTAAATTTTATACTACTCCGTATATATTGTTTATTATTATTATTATTATTATTATTATTATTATTATTATTATTATTATTATTATTATTATTTTAAAAAACAATTATTAACGCATGTTTACTTGTTTTTTTTGGGAAAAAGGTCTCTCTAAAAGTTGACTTTCAAAATGGAAACTGTTGAAATCCGTCGTGTTTTGGAAAAAAAATATATTCATTGGTCTATACAAATATTCAAGTTTTCAACTGTCCTAAAATTTGTGAGACTTTTGATTTCCTTTTTTTAAAATGCACGCCTTTATATTATTTGACTATTTTTTGAGGAAAAATTATTTGACTATTGGCTGTTCTTTTTGTATATTTCACTGCCATATATATTTTGTGTGTATATAAGAATACATATTAAGATTGTTTTGATCAAAAAAATGATCTAAAAATATCCTTTCAAAAAAAATTGTCTAAAAATATGGAAGATGAAAAAACTCAATTGTGCTTAAATCATGATTTGGTTCAAAGTTTTGCAAGTTTCGTGCGAAACAACACAAAACTAATTTTGCATATATGTAAAGTATGTTTGAAGAAAAAGATTTATCTAATTTTGCAAAAGTAACATATTGTTATTTTGTCCATTTTATAAATATATACATATGATCCCTTCGGAAAAAAAGGAAAACCCATTTTTCTCAAGTGAGAAAAATTAGAGAAAAATCTTTGTTTTCCCTTTTTTTAAATCTCATGAACCAATCCCATTTTTTCCCTGTTGAGGAAAATTAGAGAAAATTTCTTTGTTTACCCTTTCTTTTAAATTCCACGAACCAAACCCATATTTTTTCTGGTGAGAGAAATAAGAAAAAATTCTCTATTTTCCCTTTCTTTTAAATTTGACGAACCAAACCCATATTTTTTCTAGTGAGGAAAATTAAAGAAAATTCTTTGTTTTCCCTTCCTTTTAAATTCCACGAACCAAACCCATTTTTTTCCTGGTGAGGAAAATTTTAAAAAAAATTCTTTGTTAATTACCCTAATTTGTATGCCACACTTTAATTAAAGTGATGATGAGAAGTTTGCTAGCCTTTTCTTATTACCTTCATTCATATATAATGTCTCTATTTTAGGTGTTTAGCTTTGTACAATTAGCAGAGTTGTACTATGCAGGAAGTCATGGGATGGACATTAAAGGACCAGAATCCAAAAAGGTAATGACAAAGAAAAAATGTGAATTCTTTTTGACTTTGGCTTTCAATGGTTCTAAATTGGTGTCATAATAATAATAACCAATAATTCAAAATTTTCAGGACAGGGAAAACATTGTTTTCCAGCCTGCCAAAGAGTTTCTTCCCATGATTGAAGAGGTTTACAAGATTTTGGTGGTCAAAACCAGTTCAACTCCCGGTGTTCTAGTGGAGAACAATAAGTTTTGTGTCTCTGTCCATTTTAGATGTGTGGACGACAAGGTTAGATTTTTGAATAGAAATATTTGTACTAAATATAGCACCAAAACTTAAATTATTTTCCTAAACCACACTTAATTTATTTTATTCCCTAAATGGCACTTAACAATGTTCATAATATCCAGTGATGACGACTATAAACGTGAATAATGATTAATGAATAATGACTAAAAATTTTACATGGGAGAAAAAAACACATGTGATGTTATTTAGGAAAAGTCATTATGTTTTAGTATTATTTACGTAAATTCCCTCTTTTCTGAATATTCCGTTTGTAGCATGCACCAATAAAATGCGTATACTTAAAATACAAGAAATTGTTTTAAATAGGAGTAAAAACATAAAGAATGGAAATAGAAATTTCGTGTTTTTATCTCCAAAAAAGGAGTTCGTTTCGTACTTTGGTAATGCGGGTCATGTACATATATGGACATCTCATAATACTTTTTAGTAATACATATGGTTATGCCTGACAATATAAATGTATTTTAACTTCTATTTTAGAAATAAAAATATGAAATTCTTATTTTAATATATTTTAGTAATGTTTTGCTCTTATTGTAATCTTTTTTCTTTTAAATACTTTTTTTAAGATCAAGAAATTAAACGCATACAATGAGAACAATTATAGTGATTGGCAAAATAATTAAATAATGATAAACCCAGAAAATATACCGACCAAAGGGGTTGCTAACAAGGGAAAAGAAATACGGAGTATTTATTTAGATTAACATAGGAATTAATTAAAGTTGCTTTAATTTATACTAAGAAAAAACTAAAAAGAGGGCTATACCTCAATTCATTAGAAAATGCAATAAAAGAAAAGCATCCACCTCACGTTTGTTTGTTTTTTTTGCATGAATAGATTGGAAAAAAGAATGCTAGTGAGACCCCACATGTTTTTTTCCATCAACAACCACTATTACTCCTTTCCTAATTCTTCCTATGTTTTTCTTTGTTCTTTTAATTATTTGGCACCATTTTTATGTAAAATAGAAGCATGTTTAGATTTTTATTTTTGTGGTCTTGATGAGAGAATCAGAATCGGTCCTGAGAATTCAAGTGTCTTAAAGACACAGAAAAAAGTTCTTTAAATCTTAACGACGTGCTTCATTTTGTTGGGAAAGATAATTAAAGAAAAATATGGAGTATATGACAACGTATAAAAATTATAAACAAAATTGGAAAAAATGTAAGACAAACAGAGTCTTTTTTTATTTTTTCATAACATATTTGTATATATATGCGACAGAAATGGGAAAAGTTAGCGAAACGCGTAGCAAGTGTATTGGAAGAATATCCCAAGCTCCGACTAACACATGGTAGGAAAGTGTTGGAGGTTCGCCCCGCCATTGCATGGGACAAAGGCAAAGCTCTCAACTTCTTGCTTCAATCCTTGGGTAAGTTTTATTTATCATGAGATATATACTAAGAATATATAGTTAATTTGGTAATTATGGGTAGTTGATTTATAATTTGATTTGAATTGAAACAAATCCTTTTTCATTTTCGAATTAACAGGATATGCTAATTCCAACACGGTTTGTCCTGTGTACATCGGAGATGACAAGACTGACGAAGATGCTTTCAAGGTACACATAGCCTCATGCCGGCCTTCGCCCGGCAACATTCTTCTCATTTTGATCTTTCTTGGTCAAATTTCATAAACTTTGACCATAAATCATAGAAAAAATATACTCCCTCCGTCTCAAAAAGTTTGTTACGTTTAGAAAAAACTGCGTCCCGTAAAATCCGTTACATTTCTATTAAAAAACCACTTTTACCCCTTACTTTTTCATACCCTACCTATCACATCATACCTTTTTCCTAATAATCTACCCATCACATTCTACTTTTACCCATCACATCAAGGGTATTTTTGGAAAGTCAATACCAAAATATCCCTCCCTTAATTTTTTCCAAAAAGTCAAACCGACTCATTCTTTTTGGGACGGAGGGAGTATTAAATTGTGATATGTATGTTATACCAATAGATTCATTTTGATACGTAGTTTTGAGTTATCATATTTTCATATCGTATATCTATATATAAATAGATACATTAATGGTCAAAGTGTTGAATTAGAGATTATGAAAAATTAAATGAGTTCATGATTAAATTTTTGTGAAAAAAGGTCTTGATTAATAAGTTGTTGATTTGTGATTTATTAGGTGCTCAAAGAAAGTGGAAAAGGTTTTGGCATTGTTGTCTCTAAAGTTCCAAGAGATACCCATGCAACTTATTCACTACAAGAACCATCAGAGGTACTTGGAAATACTTATATTTTAACTTGGAGTAAGTTTTCAAGTAATAATTTTCAAGTAAATAAAATACTTATATATTTTAACTTTCTCAATATTAAAAGTGAGGACTTAGAGCTACTTTGCCCATGTTTGAAAGTCTTATTGTATCTTAATGCTTTCAGGTTATGCACTTTCTTCACCGTTTAGTAGAATGGAAAAGACAGACGCATAAAGGCTCACAAGAAATTAGGAGAAGATAAAAGCAAGGATAAATGTTTATGATGGAGCAAGACATTAGTAATGTTATATATAGTATAAGATAACAAGTTGCATATATGCAACTTTACTTTTTGAAATATCAAAATACATAATACTTATAAAAAAATAAAAAGTAAAAAGAAAGGGCTTTTTACCTTCTTTTTATCCACTATAAACGCCATGTCCATTATGTGTGACAAGCTCTAACAAGGATGTATTAAGGAAGCACTATTGTAATTTCACCCATCTTGTCCATGTAATATAAATGGTACTCCTTAATGTTTTTATATATATGCATGACATTTTGCCATATGGAAGTTGTTCATATCTTTAATTTTCACACAAAAAAAGGAATTTTAGTTTCTTAATTTAACATACATTGGCAGCAAATTTTATGCATCTATGAAAACTTGTTTAATTAATCTCTTTTCAAAATTTTAAGACTCGTGTAATTCTATTAGAGCAGTTTTTTAAAGGTTTCGTTTGATACACGGAATCCAAACTATTGAATTAGAATTGGGGATAATAATTCAAATTTTGTTGTTTGGTTGCACAAAAATAAGTGAATTTCGAATTGGTTGTGCCAAAAGTGAATTAGAATTGCATGATTCAATTCCATCTAAATCAATTCCATAAAATTTCAATTTTCAATTTAATTCTAGTTTCGTCAATTCTGTGTACATACCAAACAGACCTTTAGGCCATGTTTTCCTTAAATATAACTAGATTAGATCATATCGGAAATAGCTTTAAATTTAACTACAATCAGATCAGACCATATCAGATCGGAACTTATTCCAATCAGGTCAGGTGAAGAGAGAATGGTCTTAGTTTATTTGATTCTAACAAAAATGAAAAGAATTGAAGTTATGACAATTTGTATGTCACGACAAGGTGTTTGAAAGTACTCTATCTTGGTCAGCTTCTGTATTGTATAGAAGTAGATTTATAATGTTTCATTTTAATTTTGTTAGGTTTTCACCTACATTTTGTTAAATTTTGATAATTTTGGTTTGTTTATGTGTTTTTTATCTTTAATAAAAAATAAAAAATTTTATATGCAAATTTTATTTTTTTGGAGGCGAGATGGTTCACATGCACTGAGCCTAACTTATGAGTTGGGCAATCAAGTGTGTCTCATGTGTGTAAAAGGAAAGAATATATCTTTCGTATATATTTTCGTATATAGTAGTTTCCTTGTATTAGTAGTAGTTTACTTGTATAGGGATTTCCTTGATTTCCTTTTCTTGTTTGGTTAGAATCTCGGCTTGTGAGAATCTATATATTTGTGCCTTGGTTGTAAATTGCAACACACAGAAATACAGAGAATTTTCTCCCAAATAATTCTTTCATGGTATCAAAGCAGGTTTTGGCCCACCTCGTTTGTCAAGGTGTCCGTCTAGACGTTCATTCCTAGCGGCCCGTTAGTCTTTAGCCCAGTTGTCCGTATGGAGTATGTACCCAACGGCATGTGGCCCGTTTAACACGATTGCTCGTCTGGAAGTCCATACCCAGCAGCTCATGGTCCTTTAGGTGTTGGCGCTCAAAAAAAATCAAGGGGATGGGAGTCCATTTGCAAGTGGCCAGTCAACCGGTTAGATTCAAAATGGCCCGGTTGTCCACTTGAGGGGGAGTGTTAAAGAGTATCCCACATCGGAATTTGAAGAGAAAATAAACCGGTATATAAGCCCTTGAATTGAACTAACTAATTGATTGGATTCAATCTTTTAATGTAGTTTCCTCACAAGCAAGTTATGAACAGATACTATAATGGTAATAGATATTCATTCTCAAAAAAATCTAGTCAGACATATTGTGCATAGTGAGCTCTCAATATACCAATCATACTTAGAGTGCATTTTTCTCAAGTTATTTTTATTACTTATTCAAGGGATCAAGTCATCTCAAAAAAATTCAAATTAGATTTGAAAGATTCAATAAGATCAAATCAAGCAGTCTTGATTTTAATTGGTTTTTAGATCATTATAGATTAGACCATAATTTATTAAATTCATATCAGAACTACCCTCTCCATGTCATATTAACTCTCTGTTATAGTTTTCAAGCTACCTTTAAAAATGAATGAATGTAGACATACTTTATGTCAACATCCAATTATTTTTGAATGTGTAATGAAAGTCTGTACTTCTTCCGTCCCATAGAACTTTTCAAAGGTAAAATAATATGCTCTAAAAATATGTAATTTTGATATTGTTTTTAATTTTTTTATTACATTATAATAAAGTGGGATATGACGTATAGAATAAATGAGCTATAAGTAGAAAATAACATCAAAATGACATATTTTTAGGTTTCTCATTTTCTGTCTTTGAAGAATTTTATAAGACAAAAGAAATAAAATACTTCATTGTTAACATGAAATGAAGGGAATGATTAACAAATTTTTATTCCCAAAGATATTTTGGCTCTACCTTGAAAAGAACTTTAGTTTTGGACCGCCCATTAGATAAAAAAGGGCTCAAGCCTCATGGTATAATCGACATTTTAGACTCAGTGGCGGATCTAGAAAAATAAAGGACTGGGGGCAAGAATAACAGGTCGGGGGTTTGGAGGCGACACCTCCAATATTTTTTGAAATATATTATGAAACGATAAAAATAATGTGAAATTTTATTTAAATATTGTGAATTGCTATACATAATTTATAATTAAGTAAATTAGCAATTTTAAATTTTAATTTTTTATATATAAATAGATTACTAAAACTAATTTTCAATTAAGGATTTTAAATGCTTTGACCTACTTTTTTTAGCGAGATTCAGGAAATTAATGGGGGCATATTTGAATTTTTGGTGGGGGCATATTTAAAAATTTTAAAAAATCATGGTATCTATTAAAAGGTATTTAGAAGTCATTGGGGGCAAGTGCCCCCATTACCCACAATGTGCATCCCCCCATGATTTTAGTTATAAAAAATAGTCCCTAGGATGACGTAGAACACGAGTGTTGTTTCTACAGTACTCTATTTGAAAATTGATGGTTCCTATCTCTATCATATTAGTAAATCCTTCACTCTGCCTCGGCCCTCAGAACCTACCCTTCACCCCTATCAATTGCACCCCTGAGATTTGATTGACTTTGTAGGTGAGTGCAATTGGCGAGGTGAAAGAGTGGGTTAAAGCCAGACTTGGATGGTAGGATTTACTGGGGAGTTATAATAGATAGGAACTATTAATTTTTTGAATTAAACATCGTAAAGGTTCTGAGTCATCCCATGATATAATATTGATTCTTGATTTCATGGTAGTGGACTTATGGTGATCCCAAAAAACATGGTGCACCAAAAAAGAGTTGTTAAATGTACTCCCTCTCTTTAAAATTATCTTCTTTTTTGTTATTTACACAATTAGACTTTATTTAGCTTTTAGCCTATTTTTGTTGATCATTTGATGAAATAGTATAATTATGTCACATCTAATTTTGTTAATCTTTTGATGTAGTTTTCAAGCATGCAATTTTAATTTTTTTAATTTCATACCATTTTTTCATATAAAATAATTTAAAGAATAATTTCAGTCAAACATCGTATCACACTACAAATTTTTTTTGGATGAATGTAGTATATGCTTATTCTATCATGTAGTGTTCGGCCGAGCTTAATTATCACTTACGAAATATTTGTGTCACACCTTTTGTATACTTCTTTCATTTGAATTTAATCTTCTCATTTAACTTTTCTTGATCAAAGATTATAAAGTTTAACCTTGATGTCTGGTAGAAATACATTGTATTCCGATATAAATCAATAGTATTTTTTTCAAATGTAGTTTTGAAATATTAAAATTTTATAAAATATAACTTTCCATAAATATCGATATTAAAGGTCAAAATATTATATTGACGAGGGTGAGTGAAATGGATAAATATCGATATTAATGGTTAAAATATTAACTAATATTTTTATTTATTTAGTTATCTTTTATGTTTAAGATTCTTTAACTTTGAAAGCTATATATGTATCTATCACCATGAAGTTATCAATCAGTGAAAAAACAATATGACAAACCCTAATTCCTTCTACTCTCTCAGTTTACGGATCCCTTTCCTGTCTTTGAGAACGTACAATCTCAATCGGCGTTATCTTTCTTTTATTTCTCACCTTAATTTCTAGAGATCTAAGACATTGGAAGTTTTTCCTATCCGATTGTTCTCGTATCATATTTAAGTATATATAAGAGGAATTTACTTAAATAACACTAGAACATAATGACTTTCCCTAAATAGGATCACATGTGTTTTTCTTCCTAATGTAGTTTTTAGTCATTATGCATTAGTCATTATTCAAATAAATATTCACCATCATTGGACATTATGGACATTATTAAGTGTTATTTAGGAAATAAAATAATTTAAGTGCTAATTAGAGAAATGATTTACTCCGTATGTTTTAGTGCTATTTAGTACAAATATTTATATACTTCCTCCGTCCACAAATAAACTTTACGTTCACTATTCACATGGTCAAACTTTATTCACTTTGTTGGCATATTTTCGTTACCCATTTGATAAAATAATATAGTCATGTCATCTCTAGTTTTGTAGATCTTTTGATATAGTTTTTTAATATGTGATTTTTATTTTAAAATTTCACACCATTTTTCATATAAAATAATTTAAAAATAACTTCAATCAAATATCGTAACGCGAAACGTAAAGTTTATTTATGGACGGAGGGAGTATATAAATCTTTCAAGCTTTTATTTGAACGGTTGTGGAGACCCTACGTTTAGGTTTCTTTTTGTACTCAAAGGTATAAACTTTATTGTTTTAGGATAAAGTATTATATACGTACGGTTAACTATCAAAATCACAAATGGGCCATTGAGGCAATATGTCTAATTCTCGTTGGCTGGTAGGATCTACTTTAAACCAATTATTGACACATTTTAACTTCATTTCCGTATTATTGGTGTTTTACTGTTTGTAAATTTAACTTTATCATCTCCTTTTCTTATTTTTTTCCCATTTCATTTTACTTTTTGTGGAGAAGTGTTGTGGCAGAATAGCGATGGGGCAAACATGTCATTATCCAAAAATTATTGAAGCCCACTTCTAATTCTACTTTAGCAGAGAGGGTGTATGTGTCATTTAAGCAAACCACAAGGGCTTATGCACAATAACACTAAAAAATACTCTTCATGTCCCCATTTTAATTACAAAATGAAAATTACGATGTAAAATCACATAATTTTTAAAATTATTTTATTTACAAATTGGTACATCAATAAAAAAAATTACATACTCCCTCCGTCCTTGTGTGTTTGTCCACTTTCATTTTTGCACACCATCCAATGAACTTTTTTAATACATTTTATCTTGTAATTTGTATATTAAAAAATTATAAAAATTATATATTAATAATCTATATGTTAAGACGAATCAAACAAGATCACACATGACTATTTTTAGGCTTACATATTGAGAGAATTTGATAAGTCAAAGTGCTTAGATGAACAGTTCCAAAAGTCAAAAATGGACAAACACTCAGGGACGGACCAAGTATTAAAAAGTTGCGTGAATATTTTATTTTATCAAATAATCAATGAAAATATACAAATAAACATAAATTATCAAAATGAGAGAGAAAATAAAATTGTACCGAGTAATCAAAATAAAGACGGAGGAGTAACTAGTAAATATAGACCAATGGTAGCCGCAGCCATTATTTTCACTTTTGACAAAGCCGGGCCACGTAATTACACTGATAATTTTATATGGGGTAAATCTGTTAAAAAATTACTTTGGATCAATACAAGTTTCTCTCAAGAACGCAGTTCTCATATTTTAAAAAAACTTTAGGGAGTTAATTTTTTTCTAAAAAAGTTACGAGAATGCTTTTCAACATCAAATAGGCCTTAAATATCAAGTTTTATCATACACTTAGGGCCCCTGTTCTTTAGGACTGGAAAAAAAGAGCTGGAAACTGGAAGAAAATGGAAGAAAGTGGAAAAAACTGGAAGAAACTGGAAGAAACTGGAAGGAACTGGAAGAACGGGAAGAAACTGGAAGAAACTGGAAGGAACTGGAAGAAACTGGAAGAAACTGGAAGGAACTGGAAGGAACTGGAAGAAACTGGAAGAACTGAAAAAAATAAAAAAATTAAAACAAATTAAAAAAACTAGAATAAATTGTAAAATCTAAAAAAGTTTTTTAAAAATTTTTATGTGTGGTTTTAAATTATTCATATTCTGATTCTTGTTGATATAAATTATTATTATTATTATTATTATTATTATTATTATTATTATTTTAATTATTATTATTGTTGTTGTTGTTGTTGGTGGTGGTGGTAGTGGTGATGTTATCACGTTATCCAAATGATTGTCTTTAAAATAAAAAAATATTACGAATATTATTTTTCATACATAAAAAGACAGTTTAAAAAATTAATTAGAATATGAAATTAGCATAAATATCAAAATGTTAAATAGTTAAGAGTTATTCTGGCTATGTTGTATTTATTATAAAATAATATATTTGTAATTATATTTTATACATTACAATATTTTTTTTTAAATATCTGACATGTCACATAATGTAATCTAACTTATTTTTTCTTTAAGGATTGACAATTTATTTCCATTGTAACCCATACTTTTTGAATAAAAACATAGAACTGGTATTATTCATATTAAAAATTTGAAGAAAAAAACTAATGAATGTGAATCATAAAAATAGTTAGATGAAAAAATGAAATAATTTATAAACTATAGTTATTAACATAAAATTTGCAATTAAAAAAATTGTGATAATAATAATAATTATAATAATAATAATAATTATAATAATAATATATTTTTTTAGAGTGATTTGTTAGAAGGTAGAAAAAATTTGAAAAAAAATAAATATAGTTGGAAGAAATTAGAAGAAACTGGAAAAAACTGGAAGAAACTGGAAGGAACTGGAAGGAACTTGAAAAAACTGGAAGAACTGGAAGAAACTGGAAAAAACTGGAAGAAACTGGAAGAAACTGGAAAGAACTGGAAAAAACTGGAAGTTAAGAGTTCAAGTCCTAAAGAACAGGCCCTTAGTAGAAAATATACACCTCCGTCTCAATTTTGATTACAATTTTATATTCTATCTCTCTTCTCGATAACTTTTGTTTATCTATTTATTTTCATTGATTATTTGATAACATAAAATATTGTTTTGTAGATTTTTAATACGGAGTATGTAATTTTCACAAAGTCTCAAGCAAGGAAAGAATACGTCCATTTTTTCATGAATGAAACCAGTAGACCTTCTCTCTACAACACCTTTCCCTCTATCTAAGTCAGGATCTTAGGATCCAACAATATCCAAAAAATTGTGCGGCAGTGCCTCCTATTTTGTAGGAGAGAAAAATCAAAATAGAACTAACACGTTGAAAATATACTAAAACATGACTTTCATATTTTTATTCTCGAAATAGGACTTACATTACCAAACATGGTTGTGTACATTACCAAAAAAGTATAGTAATGTGTACATATACAGTGCCGCATTACCACAATGTAAAATTTGATCTACGGGAAAAGAAACATAAAAGTTCTATTTTGGTACTTTTATCAATGTTTTAGTCCTATTTATGGTGATTTCTATATTTTGTACTCCGTAGTAAGGACTTTCAAGGTACCATATGATCTAAAATAACTCCAGAGACACTTAACATTTGTTATAATATACTTTGAAAATACATTTCGCCCAAAGGGCGGTTAGAAGTGAATAATCCATTTCTTTGACCCCAAATTACCTATTTTACCCTTATCATAATTACTCCAGAGTATCTAAAGTTTTATGCTAAGAACTCACATGATTCTATTTTGCCTTTTGGCGAATCTAATTTATGTATTTCCTCATTATATTGTATTCATAGATACACAAAATATATGGAGCATCAAAGCACTCTTGGCCTCATTCTAAACATAGTTGTTCACAGTCACTATGACTATTTGACAAAAATTACATCCGCCGATATATAAAAAGTGAGCAACTCCACTTTTGTAATTGCATTGAAAAATGGTAGAGTGAAAATGTAGACTTTTTTGTCAAAATTTTGAAAAATTATACTACGTAATAATGTTGTGAACAATAAGTTAATAGAAACAACATTGTTTGGTTTAACAACTTTCATAGTTTTTCACCATCATAATCATCATCCATATTGTTTGGTACGGAGTAAAAGAACTTTCTTTTCATCATCGATCCTCCTCTTCGTAGGTTTTTTCAATGGTGTGAAAAATATCACTCATTTCTCGTAACAAAATCTATATTGAGATAACGAAAGTGTAAGGTATTCCCAAAACCTGAACTTAGTGTAGAAGTTAGTCTCAAATTTTGTTTCACCCATTGTTTAAAAAATGACAAGTGTTAGAGGCCTAAATTCCCAAGAGCTCAACTTTAGAGATACTGATAGGAGAAAGATTGATGAATTGAGAAAAAAAAGATGTGAGTTTTAGTGATTAGCTGATTCTTACTTTCTTCCCCTCTGTGTCTATTGCTTCAGCCAGATCCTCTGCATTGTATTCCACCCCAAAACATCTCACCACTTCCATCTTTGGATTCATCAAGTACCTAATGTATATAGTATATTGACATGGAATTTGTCAGAATTGATCACAAAATGCATTTGAAATATAATTGCTTGCATATAAAAAGGTGGAAGTCCCATTCATCTTCATCTCGGTTAAAGAAGAAAAAAGTAACTTATGCGCTAAAACCCGATCCAATGGATGATGGGTGGATCTGATGTGGTATGTGGATATTGTGCGTAATGGATGATGGATGGATTGGATGAAAGATGGATGAGAGTGGAGCTCCATCCAATCTAAGCCCGACCCGTGGTCATTCCTAATCTATCAATTTAAAAAAAAATGCAGTGAATAAGTTAGTGTGCTTCTAGGCAAAAATGTCAGAAACCCACCAAGTTTGACACCAGATGCTATTTTCACACAGATAGTGAGAAATCTATTGTCCGTGAGACACCATACCTTTGTGTCATCCTTGGTGGGTTTGTAGCATGGCTCGTTTCTAGGTGATGATTGAAAAAAAAATGGATGGCTAAATGGGCCACAAATGATTACAAGATGTAATTCAATGAATTGAGGCTCGGTTTGATTGCTAGAAGAAAAACTGTTGTAGAACTAGTTTGAGAAAAGTGACTCCTTTTTTTAAGAAATGAAGTTAATTTCTGCCATCAAATGAACGAAAATATATAAACATTTTCAAAGAAAATACTTTCAATCAATCAGCAAATCCCTAATTTCAGAAATTTAAAATGCTGTGTGAATTTTTTGTGCAATAAAAATCAAAAGTTTAGGATTTTAAAACTCACATATTGTGAGAAGATTCAACAAGATAATCGCCTCCTTCCTCATCAACCTTCCTAAAGAACACTCTGTACTCTTGTGCCATCTGCCTCACAGATTGAACTGGTCCAGTTAATCCCACTATCCTTGGGTCAATCTCTGCACATATGATGGAATTATTATAATATTATAAAACCAATACACCGCTATGAGAATGGGGTCACTTGACCAAAAAAAAGTACAAAGCAGAGAAAACGGTTGAAGCCATACCTCTGATATACGCACAAAGATGAGAAGGTGTATCGCGTTGTGGGTCGAGTGTGACGAATACAGGTATGATCTTACGACCATGCTTTGAGCCTTGTTCACAATGGTAAATAGAATAGGAAAAGTTAGAGTTATGAATTTTAAGGATCCTCGATAATATTTCCCTCGAAAAAGTTTTTCTCAAAAATTAGTAGGCAGAGAATCAGTAGATTCGTTTTCAAGTCTGTCCCACAAACTGAGAATTAAAAATTCAATTCCCTTAACATGTTTTTCCTTTCACTACAATCTTCTATTTTCCAAATATAGCCAAAAGGGATTCAGGAAAAGGATGCCCCATTTTTTAAAACAATAAATCTTTTCCACAGAAGTGTTAAGAATAAAAAACAAGCAACCCAGTAAAAAATCACAAAAGGTCTGGGGAGGGTGAGCATAAGCAAACCTCATCCCTACTAGGAAGTAGAGAGACTGTTTTCAAGAAGCAAGTAAAATATTTTCATTTCCTTCTAAATCCGGGGGAAACCTTTTCTTGAAATGTTTTCATGTGTCAAACACACAAAAAAATGAAAAAAACTTTCTGGAAAGAAACTGAATTTTTATTGAAAGAAAGAAAGAAAGAAAAAGGTCAGTCTCTGTAAAGATTAAATTTGAGGTGAGTGAACAGAACCTAGTATATCAATCGTCTTAGACATCTTCTGCACTTCTTCTGGTCCAACATCAGGAGATGAAGTATGACCAAAGTAGAGAAGAACCCAGTTCCCGAGAAAGTTTTGTTCAGTTACCCTTCTGCCTTCTGTGTCAACTAAACTGAAAGGGCCGCCTATTATTGGCCCTTCATTTGAACATCTTCCACAATTCACGTCCTGGCCTGCTTAGAAGCAAAGAACACCAGATTACTAAATGTCTTAATCAAAATACAAACAACAACGTTGAAACCAAATGAACAGTAATGAGAACACATGGTTTAAATCAGAACAGGAGCCTTGGAGCACTGGTTGAGATGTTTCCTGGTGACCTTGAGGTCACAGGTTCAAGTCTTGGAAGCAACCTCTTGCAAAATGCATGGTAAGATTTGATTGCATCATCAAACATGGAATTCCCTTCTTTTTCTTTCTTGATTTTCTTCTCGTTTAAACTTGCATGTAAAGGTTTTCTTTATGTATATAAATGAGGCATTTCAACAAAAAGTTTGTGCCTAAAACCTAAATATGGATATGCTGACAAAATTCCAAATTGCAATTTCATATGGAGGTGAATTATAACTTGTTCCATGCTAGAAATCATAACTATGAAATGCGGGGTAGACCTTTAGGAATTGCCCTTCTTTCATCATTTTGTTTAATGAAAAATGATAAGCCACCAAATCCACCTAGACCAACTCCAGCCTGCAAAATTAAAATTGAGGTTAAAAGAATAGTTCTTAAAATCAGTAAGCATGAGAAAATGAAAGAGCACTAATATATGCATGTATGTTACAGTAATAATAAAAGGGTGAGAGCAAAGAGAGCCATACCAATATATAATAGGATCTCCACGAGGTTGATGCCACGGGTTCACTTGTCTGAACATGAACAAGTTTCTGACCACCAGGCTTCTTGGATCTTTTAGTGCAAAACCTAAAGGATTGAATAGTCACACACATCAATTCGGGAATACTAAACCAAACAAACCCAATATATACCACTCGAGAATAGGGTCTCAGTGCAGGATGTAGGCAGGCATTAACAGATCAACTCTACCCCATGGTAGAGAGGTTGTGGTTTCACTCACTGATACACTAATGGTATTCTAAAATCTACACTACACATTTCAATTTTGTTTCGAGAAAAAACGATATTAACATAGTACATGGTTGGTTCTCCATTTCTCCTTTAGAAGAGAGAATATCACTGGCAAACATTAGAACAGCAAAACTAAATATCTTTTAAAAAAATGTAAGCTCCCCAAACATTCTTGCGAACCATAAAAGTAGATGTGTTATGTTTATCTGCTTAGTGAGGTCAGAAAATCAACCCTTCATGTGAATATGAAAGGTAAAAAAAAGTGGCATGTTCCAAGGCTCTGTGAATATGAATGGGAAAAGAGGCATGTTGCAAGGCTCTGCGAATATGAAATGGAAAAAGGGACATCATATAGAAGAGGAGTTAACTCCGAAGAGAGTTTAATTGTACTTCATTTCATCCCTAAAGAGAACATAAACATTCTGAGCATATAAATGGAATCAAACACAGAAATCATGAGTCTATGGCTATTATGACCAGATTCCTACACATGATAATGCTAGAAGGACAACATCAACATCGTCATCAACAACAACAATCTACCTAGTAAAGTTCCACACGTGTTGCGTGGAGAAAGACAGTCACATCCGTAAATTGCAATCGTAATGTCACGGTGATCCCTTAGGCATTACAATGTCCCATTTGGTGTGTGGGCGGTTAGATAAGCTAATTAAGCTATCAACTACTCTTAGCAGATTCAGTCAAACCACCCACAGAACCCTTACCAAATGATCTACTCCGTATTTCTGTGCCTAATCGTAGCACTTTTACTTCTCAGCATGGCAGAGATAGTTAACCTAATTTATTTCTAATAATCCGCACAGGGAAAACGATCAATGACTCCTCACTCATTCAATTTCAGATTTAGTTCATCTAAAATTATACTACCCTACATGTTCGAATATCAATTCGCAGAACAGTCAAAAGGCAGTATGTTCGTAACGTATCCACTAATCGTAGCTTCGATAAAATACAACACAGAATCGATGAAAATTCTCGTTGAATTCGAGAGAGTCATTACCGTTTGATGAGATTAAACGAGCTCGCGGAACGGTTGTTCTTCCAGTAAGCTGAGAAAATCCGGAACGTTTGCATTTCCCGGTGCTTGGTAAAACGAAGAGCGATTCAGAAATTGTGTTCAGAGATCGGAGAACTGTTTATCGTCTTCTCCGGCAGAGATGAAGAAGGGTTTATGACGAGAGAAGAAGGGGAGGGAGAAGTTTGTTGGTTCGGCGCCATGGTTTCGCTTTCTTTCTCCCCAAGCTTAACAAAAAAAAAACAGAGTATGAGAAAAACTAATACCTCCATCAAAGTTGATAAAAAAAAAAAATACCTCCATCAAAGCGAGCTAAACGCTGCCGTTTTATCATGTTTCATGTGAGGCATTTGCAAAAGGTCACGTACCGAATAGTTCCCGAATTTTTTTTTAAAAAATCAAATCGAAATGTATTGAACTGAATATATATTTCAAAAAATATTAACTATATTTCCATAGTTATTTATTAGATTTTAATTATTTATTTTTTAATTTCTTATATTTCTTTATTTACGCTGACTCTTTATTTTTCATAACATGTAAAAGGATTAGATGTGAAGTCTTCACTTAAGTACTCATCCTCCCATGGGAAAAGGGTGAATACACATAAGTGTTATTCCACTTTCATCCCAGAGTGTTAGTCTTTTTTTTTTTTATTTTTTGTAGTTAACATTGACAAATTTTAGCATTAAATTAAATAAAATTAATATTTGATATTGTTGCAAAATTTATTTTATTAAATTCATCTTATAAAATATTTTCAGATTATTATTTTATATAATTAATATACTATATAATTTTAATTTAATAAAGGTCAAAAATTGATTGTAAGTTGGCAGCTGGCTGTTAGATTTTGTTTTGAATAAAAATTTGTTTAATATGTAAAATTTTTATTTCTATATCAATTTTTGAATTAAATAATTTTTCAAAAAATATTTTACCTCATAAATTCTATGTGAATTCCATTTGGGAAATGAGAAAGTGGTTATTATTTACTCGTTTATTTCTTTGTTCGTTTTTTATTTACCTCACATTTATTTATTTAATGTTTATACAATAAATAATTATACTCCAACAGCCAACTTAAAAGACTACTGCTCCTAGTTTTTCAGATTTTGGCTTTTAAGACTTTAACAACCATCTTAAGTAATTATTTTCCAAACATTTTATTTGGCTCTTAGACTGGTCAAAATAGTCAAAATTAGTCTAAACAACCCAAAGTCATTTGAAAAGCCAATATATAAAATGCCCAAACACTACAAACAGAATATGTTCAAGCAAACCTTTTTTAAACAAACTCATATCTTACATGTAAATATTACAAACAAGATACCATGAGCCTCTTTTTGTATATAAAAAAAAAAGCAATAGCTCTTGGCCTTTTTGCAATACATCACAACAAATAGTTTATTTATATCCACCATTTGGACAAATAATATGGACAAGCACATTCTGAATGTTACAATCTTTTTTCCCAATAATTATATTTTAAAATACAAAACAAATATCTAAAAAGAGCGTATTTTTATAGTTTTAAAAATAAACTTCTAGATTTAAATATTTTTAACAAAAAAATTACCTAAATGAGAAAATAATTTATTTAAATTTGTTATTTTTATACTCATTTCTTTTTATCAATAAGAGAAAGTAATACATTAATACTTGGTAAAAACATTATAAAGTTATAAAGCACCACTTTGTATGTTATTATTTTTATTTTTATTTCTTATCAGAGATTAGTTTTTATTGATTATCTTTTTATTTCATTGTTTTATATGGTCTTTGACCCTTGGTTGTGCTTCATTTTTGCTATTTTTAATACCTACTTTTCTAAAAAAATATTTATACTCCATCTGTTTTACAAAACAGTTCGCATTTTGATTTTTAGGAGAAATAAAGAGTGCACATTTATGGTTGACTTTTCAATGTTGCCCTTGATGTGATGGGTAAAAAAGTAAGAAGTGATAAATATATTATAAATGAGATGAGAAAATATGATAAGAAATAGTAGGAATACAAGTGATTTTGTAATAGAAAATGGAAGTATTTTAGAGTAAACAAAAATAAAAATAAAAGGGAAAATGTTTAAAGAAACGGACAGGATATGAAATAAGACAAATCTTTATTTTGTTATGCAAAACAAGTCACTTACATAGTTACATTAACCACCCGTTAGCGGCTTAACTACGATCCAAAACATACATATTTCAGTAAATTATTTTCGAAAAATAATTTTTTTTCTTTTGATTTGAATAAAAGTTGCAAGAAAATGCTGGTTGGTTTTAGTTGGGTTCGGGTCTAAAGTCTCTAAACCCCACCACCACCCATTGACACCGCTATTGACCGGCTTCCCGTCTGCTGTGGTGGCCTCCCCCATCATCTTCTTCCACAGAAAACGCACCTTCAGGTATTCATTCCATTTTCTGCTCTAAATCTTCAGTCTTCCATGGTCAAAACCAAAAAAATTGAGTCTTGCTTAAGTTTTCCAGATATGAAGCACAATTTCCACTTTTTTTTTTAAAAAAAAATCATTGATGAGTTTTTATATCTATGGTTCAAACTCCGAATCTGGAAAAAAACAGTCCACAGATCTTTTGTTAGCCCTATATTTTTGAAAATGTGGCAGATCTATTTTTCATGTTTCATTCAGATAAAGTACTTTCTTTGTATTGTAAAAAAAAAGTACTTTCTTTGTTCTATAGAGTATTTCATCTGGTATGTTCGTTTTTTATAGTATGTTTTAAGTTAAATCAAACTAATATTCCTAATATTTAGAAAAAAATGCAGCTGAATTAGTTTGATTTAACTTTTTTTTCAATTAAACAAAAAGTTAAATTAAACAAATTAAGCTGCATTTTTTCTAGATATTAGGAGTAACTTCTCTCAATTTCCCTAAAATATTTGTGTTTTAGTTTTCCAGAAAAATAGAATTTTATGTATGCATAAGCGCATAAGCATTTTTTTAGCTCAGTTTATAGAGTGGGATCACGAATTATTTTCATTTTTTTCACACCTTAAATCTTTGGGCATGGGAAAATTTAGAAAAGTTTGAATTTTTTATTCAGAACCACAATTGTTGCAATAATTATTGCTTTAGTTAGAGTTTCGATTAAATATATTTTTGCTTCATTCTATAAGAACTTTCAAGTATTTATATCAAGAAATAGGCTTAACCTTCCAAACATCTCCATCCATACCAACAGCTACAATTCTTTGGGCAGTTCAAAAAGATTGAATTTGGCTATTCGGAATCTCAATGTTTTTGTGTTTTTACCCTCCATTCTTTGGGCAGTGATAGATCTCAAAAAGTTTGAATTTTTCTATTCGGAATCACAAAGTTGCTTATCGTGCTATCATTATAGCCGCAGTTAGAGTTTGAATTAAGTTTATCTTTGCACAACTCCCACTTCTTACTCAACATTTGATTGAAAACAAAAGACAATAAAGTAATGCAAATTATTAAAAAAAATTGACAAGTACTCTAGAAATTACCGTGGTTATGTGTTACTATCGTACTCCCTCCATCGCAAAATAAACATTACAATTGCTTTTGGCTTGAAGTTTTATAAGCCTTTCTAACGAAAAAGGTGGGGTAATGGGTAAAGTTATTGAAGAAATATTTACCCCATCTAAAACTTGGAAATTTTGTTTTGGGACAACCTAAGAAGTAAAGAAGCAAACTTGTTTTGGAACAGAGGGAGAATTACTTTTACTCATTATGAAGTTTATGTTGAATATGTCAGCCATTGTTAATATGCCTTGAATCTGTATTCTGTTGCCGCTACACAGATAAGGGTCTCGCCCATTTTGTGTGCCTATTTATATAGAGGCAAGGCACAAGAATTCTGTACTCTGGAACTACTGTCATAATACAATCCGCCTCCGCTCTTGCCTGTGGACCTAGCCAATACAACGTTGGTGAACCACGTTAAATTTGTGTGTCTTTACGTTTTCTGTTTACTTTGATTACTCAATTACTCTATTCCGTAATAACAACCATTTTGTCCCAAATAATAATATAATTGAATGAGTGTGTACTCCACACCTCCTAACTCGTTCCAATAGTTATTATTATTTTAATGTCAGGTCACTAAGTAAATCCAACTACCCAAAACAGTCTGATGACACTAAAATCACCAACATGTACTGATTTTTCTTCTTGCAGTTTGATGAAAAGCTGATATCCTTGGCGCTGCATTAGCATTGTAATATCAATTATGGAGAAGGCTTCCCCTGATTGCCCCTACCCAGGATGCTTCTTCTGTGTGATGAAGGAGGGAAACCCCAACAAGCGCAGAGCAAGTATATTGAAGTTCTTCCGGGACCTACCCGCCCAGGACGATGACGGTCAAGTCCTCCCAATCAGCGGGCTTTGGAACACCGCAATGGCTCACCCGAACGATCCGGAGTTTATAGAGTTGGGTATCTTTGAGTGCATGGCATCCCTTATATGGAAGGGCCTAAAGAACCGCCGTTGGCTTTCGCATGACCAAAACATATACATTCCTTACTATGCAGCCCACATAATCGGATCATACACGATGAACATGGAGGATTTCGCCCAACGGGCCGTCCGGGCCGGGGTGGTCCCGCCTCTGGTTGAGCTTTTGAGCGGCAGGCTGACATGGGTCGAACAACGGGTCGCGGTTCGGGCTTTGGGTCATTTGGCCACCTACCCGTCCACCTTCGAAGAAGTGGCGAGTCACGGCGAAGTTCTAGAACTTTCCATGCAGCTGGCTGTGAGTTCCCTCGAGATAGTTTACACGCACTTCTACCAGTACGTGGACAGAAGGCTAAATTACCATTGTGACCTTCTCACGCGTGGGATGGGCGGAGTTGAGATGGAGTCCAGGAAGGCCGAAGAGTGGGCCAGCCAGCTACAGTGTTGGGCTCTTCAGCTCATCAACTGCTTTGCTTTCAAGCCCGAGTTTCTTCCGGCCATATGCAAACCGGAGTTCATTTCCAAACTTCCTGGGATGTGGGGTGGGCTTGTCAACGAGAACTCGCCTGCTGGGATTGGGCTTTTGAGGACAATTTGTCACCACAAGCTTGGGAGGGGGCCCATTGCTTCATGTCCTGGTGTTTTGGATGCACTGTGCAATATTGCGCGCTCATCGGATGACTGGCAATATATGGCTATTGATTGCCTTTTGTGGTTGCTCCAAGATCCTAATACCTGCCTCAAGGTAAATTAAATTTAACACAACTCTGATCTTATGTATTTTGTTTAGAAAAAAAATTATAACGTACAATCATTTGCATAGGTTATTGACAAGGCAGTTCCAGCACTTGTTGATCTTGCTGATAT